ACGTGGAATATTTCCTGCACTCGGACGACCTGTCGGACATGCTGCATTTCCAGGTAGACAAGATGGATTCGCTTTTGGTCAAGGGTGAGTCTGCTGTTTATAAAATCTATTCAAAATCATATAAATTTCCAGCTCATTCGATGGCGGTGCGCGAAGCTATCAAGTGAAAGGTCGCTTGCTTTGTGGTGTACAAGGAGCTCAGGGAGCAAGAGTGTCACTTTACGAAATCGGAAGTGGGTCCATCCCCTCCGTTTGATCAATTCACTTCAAGTTTTTTGTTTTTCAATAAATTCAACGGTTATGCTCGCATGTCAAATAGAAAAGCAAATAAACCGCGCTCAACAATCTTGATAATCATAGTTTAAGAAGAGGCAGCTTGGCTTGTCTCAAGAACCAGGATTTTCTCAAGTTTCTGTAACTTTCTTTGAAGCAACTCCAAAATTTATAGCCTTTAAATTAATCTCTAGAAAAAGCAGATAACCTACAAACAGAGCAATCGTTAGCTTTTAGAAATTTGAGATTTCAATCGCTTTAATGAAACTTTTGCTGAAAGATCCGTGTTGTCTTTGTTAAATTTATTATTACGTGTTTTGTGGCGTAATTTATGCATCTTTAGATGGTGGATCTCCAATTATTTACGAAGACAAGTCTGTGGATGGATCTGGAAGTTTCCATATAAAAGCAGAGATCCGTGATCAAGGATTTGGTGGTGGTAGCTCTGCAGGACCACTCATACTGGCCATCAATCATAACTGCGAGGTTAGTGATGCAGATTCTGATTACTCTAAAAAGTTGCTGGCGGTAAACTTTTAAGGATGTGGCATAATTGATTGCTTTTGAATGATCTGTCTTTCATCTTGAATGAAACTTTATCAGGGCGTACGACAAATGAGTCTTCAATTGCCACAATCTTATCTCCACCAAGGATTCGGTGCAGTTAGAACATTCGATATAGGTTTGTTTGAGAATCCTCCGCTACTAGATGTTGTGATCAAATATTTTCAAAAACGGTAACGCTTCAGGAACTATCAATCTCGAAGCACGTTATTCGGGTGAAAAAACCAATGGATTCGATGGTTCAGATGGATTTAACACTGGCGGCACTCGTAGCAGAATTGAGTCCTTGAGAAACGGAAACATGGGTGGTGGTGGATTTGCTCCACTTCCGCTTCAGGCCTAGGTCATCATCAGTATTATCCATTTGAGTGCACTGTGGACTTTGTCTCGATGTTTCATTTCAATGCAAATAAAGTCTTGATTATGTGTCTGAACGGGGTGCGGGAACTTACCTACCCGAAAGACTTGCCGCACA